TTTTATGACTGCATTAATTTTACGCACTCTTTTTAGTGGATGATCGAGAATCGTCTGGAAAGGATATAGTTTGATGATCTCCCTTTTCGTCACGTTACTCTGCCCTGAAACCTTTAATATTGAACTAGAGTGTCGTTTCAGTTTCGGCTTAACCTTCCTTTCAACACGCAATAGAAGTCGGTTTTTGCTCAAGCCCATCCCACAATTAAATAAATTTGCCCTGTATGATGGTGAACACAGCCGTTTTCGAAGAAGCTAGACAACTGGACCCTCAGAAACTCAGCTGCGGCCATCGGAGTCTGCAACACCTCAAGCAGAGCAACTGACCTGATGAGCACTTATCATACCAGCTTTGAACTCGCTACAAACTAAAATGAATACATGCAAGAGTCGCGGCTAGGAACACCGGATTCGGGTGTGCTGTAGACAACCTCTCTGAACGGTGCTTCCTCATACTGTTTTGCTTAGTCCCTAAAGTTGGAAGTGGTTGGGCCCCACATGTGGAAGGCGTCGAAGTTCCAGGCCCAACCTCCACTGGCGACAGTGGGGGTAGTGTCGTGGCGGCCTCTCTCACCAGATTCGCCACCAGATGTTCCTCAACGGTTTGCGCTTGGTTGGGCAGGAAGCAATTTTGTTACCGTGATCTGCGAAACAGGCAAAACGGCAAGCAGAAGTCATTTTAAATAGATTTTACATACCGAAAACATACGTCTTGTACTATGGTCACATTATAATAAGAGACCTAGCGGTTTTATGCGTGCAACATGTCCTGTGCAATTGTTCACTAGCTATATGTTTACAGCAAAGCTTTGCCACCCCACGCCAGTCGCCTCATTCGCAAGCTACTGGCAGTAACCATCATGCCTGCCTGGACTCTTACTGTAATATTATGCCCCCTTGTTTGCATCCTGCTGGTAAATGCAGGTAGCGAGTTTATCTCTCCCTAGGGCAGCAGCGCTGATTCATTTCGAGTGGAGCTACTGTGGAAACTATTTGGCCCTGCTTTGTGAATCCGAGTCTGTACAAAGTGAGGCATTACGCCACTCACAATGCCGCTCAGCAGCGCTAAAGGCAGTTCGGTAACGTAGAAATCGTTAATTTGCGAGAAATTCATGGCACTGAACAAAGCTTGTTGCATCGTCCCTGCCCGCATAGCCCCTACTAGAGCGAAACCAGGTCTAACTGGGCCTCCCGCTGCGATAAATGCAGGAGTGTGGGTTTGGCAGCACGAAAGTAATACAGAGCCAACTATTGAAGTCCCACATAAGGATGTGACAAGCTTTGCATGGGGACCACGACGGCATATCCTTGCAATGGGAACTGCAAAAGGTGGCGTTATAATACATGATTCCAAGTCATGTACCCATCGCAAAGAAGCTGTGATTAATATGTTCCTTAAACCTGTCCGGCGCATTGCATGGGTCGATGAACAATGGCTGATCTCCACCAGCGACGACAGAACAGCAGTTGTACTCGATCGCAGCGGTGGGACAGCTGACAATTCCCTGCCGCCAACCTTCCGAGGCTTGCTTGATTTTTATTCGTCAGAAAATATCTGCATGAAAAGTCCACGCTTTTATCAGACAGCAAATACCACACAAGTACATAGATGCGCACGCATTTAGTCTCATTATTCCACACTTTCACCGATACTAAGCAACGTTGAATCCGTTTTACACTCTTTACCACCAAGAAGCTTGGTACAGTGGCACACTTCCTCTATGCTGTGTTGGCGTAGGGATCCCGATGAAGCAAGTTTTGCTCAATGTAGAGGCTCGTTCGATGGCGGTGGGGTGGCACCAGGTCGCGCTCGCTACGGCGGAGGATAAATTACTATTGCTGCAGCCGAGGAACGGCAGAGAATATTTAGGTATGGTATGAGGGCTTTCCCGAAGCACACCACATACCTTGCCTACAGCAGTACACACTTAGTTGAAGCCCTCAAAGCGACCCTACATATCTAGCCACGCTTGTTTGTGCTGGCGTATTCTAATGTTCAACGTAGAGATCCCCTGCGCTGCACTAGAAGCCTGCGATTTGATATGGCTAGCCAGCGACATGCTAGCCGTTTTCTCGAGGGGCGGAAATGTGAGGCTGCTCCAAGCAAACTGGACAACACAAAAGGTGGAGGCATTGAAATATTCCGCAAGCCTACCTCCCGGCATTGTTGAGGGAATCGCACTCTCTCCATGTGGAGGCACTCTAGCGGTGGCATGTGAGCAAAGGCACCGCTTGTTGGCTCGGATTCCAAAGTGCCTCAACATGCTTAGTCCCTGTGCGCCTCGCGTTGACTATATATATTCTATTAGTCTTGCAGGTTTTATGCATTATCATGGATTACAGGCGGAGGGTGCATAGCCCTTATGACGTTCCCTCTGGTCTCAACAGCAAGTGAACGGATCGTTACTCTGCGCCCTACGCCTAAAGTAGAAAACATTGTAGCTTTAGCATGGAGTCCGGGGGATGAGTTCCTCGCGGTTGCCTCACGCGATGGTGAGAACCTACGCGTTGAATCAGTCGACGATGGGAGCCAAGTTGCTGTCGCCCTCATATGCACAATGAACTCTTATGTCAGCTCATTTAGCAAAGGGTTACAGCTCCGCGCGCCTGCTTTCAGGGTCTGTTGTGACGTTTGCTTGGCCGAAGCGCTTGCGCATCGCTACCTTCGGTGCAGCGGTCCTCATGAGCCTCACCCTGAATGTCCTTACTCTGCATGGTAAGACTACATCTGGTGACCCACAAACGTGCCAGTGCGTAGAGTGTGGTCTGATCATTGGTTACAGAGAGTTGCTGGCGAACGTTGGCTGTCGAATTTTTAGCAGCATGATTGGAATGCGCTACTGGTGAGCTGTGTTGGTCTTTGCCTTCCGCAGAAAGCAATGGAGTGAAATCGCTGCTGAATCTTCCAAATGAGCCCGACCGGATATTTCTGGGTCCAATGCATTGTGCAACAACATGGGGCAGCGACGTAACCTTGTACAAGCGAGTACCTCAGGTAGCTACCAAACATGTAGCAAACAGTGTTCATTGCAGCTTTCCTGACTATGGCCGTTTTTTGCTGTCACATTGCCAGAAGAAGGCAATCCAATAGATGAGCATCAGCGCGGCTTTGTAGACATTGCTATTTGTCAACGTAACAGGAAGGCGTTACTTTACTTCGAACCTTTACGCTAAGCTCTCCGGTAGAGCTGTTGGGCTTCGGAACCGAATATGCAGTGCTGGTTGCTCAAGGAAAGGTATGGAAGAGCTTAGGGCTTCTTGTCAGCATCACTTACTTGTTTTGTCTGCAAATTTGTGAGGTGTATCCGCCTTCATTTTTAAATACTCTCTCCGATGGTGAATGTGTACTCACTAGTGTATCGTTTTGAGTTGCAGGCACTGGTGCTACCGCTTTGCGAGGAGGAAGCGGACGGCAGTATAATGAGACCATTTTATTGCACAGATGCATCCTTGAAGTCAAACGAAGCAAAAAGGGCGGCACTGGCTGTTCTGCAAGGTCCTGTCGCTGCTCTTGCTGTTTCTGTTTGGTGGTGTGCATTGACAGATGATGCTGGTCACGTTTGTTTCTGTGTGATGGACACCTGCCTGCCCTTTGATGGATTTAATCACCACGTTCCTATTGCACTTTTAAAGGCCAGTAGTGATGCGAATCGGCTGGCGTTCATCGACCGCAATGAACATGCCTTTATCTACTGCCTGGACACATCAGTTTACCACCGGCAAGTAGCAGTACATTGTAGTCTGCAGGCTTTAGATAATCTCAAATATGGAAGGATAACACAATTGACTGTATGACAGACACCTCAAAAGTACCCCCAATTGCTCTGCACACGTTTTTGTATCTGATGCAGCCTTGATCTGGCTAGTATGGGACAACCGGCTGACCTTCTCTGGGATACCAACTGTAGTGGGCTTCTCCTTGTCATCACTTCGGGGCGCCAAGCCCTCCCTTTCATCTGCTCTGCAACGGAGGCTTCTTCCGAAGAGCACTTTACACAGGTATTCATGTACTGAAGAGAAGTCTTATCTTTGGTTGTCACTCGCTGTGCTAAGTAAACGAGGTAATTCCGCATTAAAAGTGTCTGTTTGCAAGGTCAGTCGCAATGATCTTTTTCTTATCCTCTCAGTCTTAGTTTTTCAGCAAAGATCACCATTTGCTATGTCAATGTTAGATTTTTAGCTAGTGATAGCACATCGCAGGCGTTTACTTTGTTGCATGGTTTCCGCAACGTACACGCAAAAACTGTTGTTTTGCGTCGGACTTGGATAAAACAGCCGCACACGGTTGTTTTGTGGATTTTGAAACTTGAAGCTACCGGTATTAGAGCTCCAAAGAAATCGCGCAGTTGAAGTTGGACTGTGCTATTACAACCTGGAAAAGTCATGCTTGCCTGTTGCCCTTGCGGATGGTAAGCAGCCGTTGCTTTAAAAATTTATTTTAACGCACCTACGTGTAATGCAATTCTTTACGGTCTTACTTTTGCAACCATTAATTGCAAAAGCTGTGCTCAGGTGGTGCCGGTAAGCCGTGCTCAACGATCAAGCCTTCTGCTTTGACCGACGCACAGAACTGTTGCTCTGACAACCATCATACTCTAGTGGCATATCCACCAGCTGTCGCTAAAGTCCTGCAGTCTATGGCAGTGCTTTGTGGAATGACTCCGGTGTGTACCGCCTCTATATTTAAATGACTTGTGCTTCGCTGTGTTTTCCTTAGGAGGTATCTAGAAATATACATATTCCTCCTTTCCCGTTTTAGCTGGCGGTTGCTTCAGGCATTCTGTCGAGTATAAATGCATACGGCATCCTAAAGTCTTCCCTGATGCCCTGCTTCACGTGCCTGCACGCAGCATGCAGAGGTACGGTGTACACTTCTGGCAGATGCGTAAACTACAGTGGAACGAACCATTTGCATAGAAAGTAGGGTTAGGGTGCTTTCTCATGTGATTGGCAACGGTATTTTGAAGCTTCTGTCAGCCTTTAATGCAGACCGCTTGACGATGAATAACCCTTCAGAGCCCAACAGCTTTACAATCCGCTGTCTTATGCAGCTTCTCGCAATGGGGCGAGAAGAGGACGCTCTACAGCTCTTAGAAGACCTGTTTGGTACAGTTCCTTCAGATTCCTATTCGAGTACGGCATGTAGATTGTGCCTCTGGCTAATGTTGTTTGTTTGTTTAGTGGCTTGAGCACGCACATAGGTACAGGCAGCCTAGAGGAAGTTGGTTCAAGTGCACGCAATTCCATTTTGTGTGCTCGTCCTTGCATACACCAATGAATCAAAGTGCTTGGTCGTACCTAAAGTATGTGCTGTCGCACTTCCAAGTTTAGTCTAACAGATTATTTAGAATTCACTTTCGGCAGTGATTCGCTAGCTACTCCGAGTGCCTTATTTCTGTTATGCAGAATCAGCACGTGATTGCTTTGAAGCTGTTGGATGGAGGGCACTCGATGCGATGATCATGGGTGTTGCCTTACGTGCTTTTGCTTCCGCCAAGCGATACGACATAGTAGCATGGATTTCAACGTTTGAAGGCATGGATGAGGTGGTAACTTTAAGAGCACATGTGAGAGGTGTGTGAGGCCGTGTTGCACAACTAGTCGCGTAAAGCCGGGAAAATGAAAGTACGGGACTCTATTTGTCGATTCACGAAAGCAAATTCATTCTGAGTTGCTCTGTTAATAAGTTTACTAGTGTCGATAATGCGCCGGGCGTTTTGCGCACATTGTACACAGCATTTCATCAGAACTGGCGCGAAGCAGTCCAACTGCTGCTTGTGAGCTCTGACCCGAAAGAGGCATTGGATTTGGCTGCTCATGCGGGAGTGTGGAATATAGCTGCTGAGCTAGCAAAGGTGCGTCACGGCCAACATATTCGTAACCTAGCATTCTTCAGAAGCCTGCGACAATGATTAGACTTATGCAGTTGGCTGCAGCTACACTTCTACATAAAATAAAATTCATTGTGACTTTAGTCTGACATGAATTGGGCTTCCTGAACTTGAGGCAATGTGTGTGTACTAGCGATTCAGCACCATGACCGTGCCACAGCTACTGCAGCGGCATGCAATGAAGTGCGAGAGGGACGGCCAGTACACTGCGGCCCTTGCCGCTTTCACGGCCGCAGTAGATGGCATCGCTCTCCAGATAAAGGCCGAAGAGTCAAGGTGCCAGTGTAGCATGGAACGTGAAGACACCAGTCCACGAGCCGTGATGCAAGCCGATTCCTCCATGTTTGTAAAGGCTTCGCAGCAAGGTGGCTCGAGCGAGCCATTAAAATTGGCCGAGCAAATACATCATCAAATGTTTGAGTGTCTTTACGGCAAGGTGCGATGTGCTTTAAAAGCCGGAGAGCTTCAAAAAGGCTTGCAGCTCGCCAAGGACCTCAACAATCCGCTTGTTTATCGAGAATGTGCAGAAGTCCTCTTGAGCATTCAGCAGCACCGACACGCAGCTGTTCTGTTCAGTAGAGCAGGTGACTTTGAACGGGCCGCTTTGATATACATCGAGGTACAAACTTTGGCCCACACCAGAGAAGCGCCAAAGTTTCGTGGTTACCCAGTGCACAATACATCAGCACAGTCACTAAACCCTGACCCAGTAAAGCATAAGATGACCGATAGCAAAAATTTTTGCCGCTGTAGCAGTAGGCCTGATAATGAGAAGCACTAGTATTGAGTGAAGAAGCCTTAATTCTCTATCAGCTTTGATCTAACTCTAATCTTGGATGCCTTCGTTGGGGTGTCTCTGAAGCTGGGAGAGTTTGGCCAACTTATTCCCCTATTGCAAACGATTGCCCCATCCACGTATCTCCTAGAGTCATACGCACGTGCACGGGAGCAGCGGCAACCTCTTGAAGCACTACGTGCATTTGGAAGGGCAGGAAACTTTCCAAGTGTGGTGCGGATACTGGTAAGAATAGTACTGAAGCACACTAATCAGTGAAACTGCGCTACGTCAGTGATTCCTCGTTCTTCATGAATACTCAGGCAATTCATCCTACATTGTTATCGCATGGCTGGTTCATAAGCAGATGTGTGACTCCTGGAAGCCTCAATGGTGGCTTTACACATTTGTAGTCGCTCATATATCTAGAGCAAATGCTATCAGGCCCTCCGTCTTGGCCGCTGGGAGGAAGCAAAAGCGCTTGTCCGACAAGTTCGTGATGCCCAAGCAGCAGAGCTTCTCGCTGATGCCTGCCGGTACAAATACTTCCCACGCATACGCATAATTATTGTTGTAGGCATACTAACTTAGCATACAAACCACAGCACGGCGTACACAGGAGGCAGCAGACACCGCTACCTCAACTGCTGCTTGATCTTTTTAGGTGTGGCAGGTAAACACGATAAGAAGCATGCCTATTTGAATTGCTTTCACATTTAAGTCTTTTTCTTATTTGTACATTTTGTAGGGCAAACAGCGACTTTCAAGGAGCAGTGGAAATGCTCTGTATTGGCGAAAAGGCAGAAGCAGCCATCACACTTGCCGTAGAAAGTCAGCAGCTTTCGGTGTTGGCAGACGTATGTTACACTCTAACAGCACCTGACCCGCATTGATCGAATTGCTCGCGACAGGATTAGCATGGCTTTTATTGAGTGTGCACTGCGGGAGACTAGTTTGCTTTTGGGATAGGGGGCGGAAAATGAGCGTGCACAAGTGAAAGCATGTAGTGTTACCTGCCATATGATTCAAATGTTCCCTTGGTTATAGCCCAGCGTAAATAAAGTTGAGACTTTTGCTTTCTACTATAGGCCTTACAGGACACTGGCTCCGCGGAACTGCACTCACGGGTTTCTTTTCTGCTGGAAAGTCAACTCATGTTTGGCCTAGCGGCCCGGCACAAGGCATTGGCAGGATGTCCAACGGAAGCCCTTGAGCTATACATTCAGGCACGTAGCTTAGCGCATGTGTTCAGTCACCCACCGGCATACATATTTCAGTAAATGCTATTGGTGTCGGCAGTAGCAGTTCTCAGAGAGAGCCAGGTGATCAGCACTGTGATATATACACCGCTCAGGCTGGGCAGAAGTGCTGGCCACAGGCACTAGACCTTGTCGCTTCAACTCGCGATTGTCAACTGGCAGCTCGGCTCAAAGAAGCGCTCTCTAGTCAGTTGATTCTGAAGAATGAGCTTCATTACCCTAACCCTGGTTCTTTTTTGCGGTTGGCACTGTTGTGGAACTGCGGAAGCCCCTAATGCCTACTGCGTTGTTTTGCAGTCCACCGCGGAAGCACTGCTGAGCGGCTTGAGTCGCTATACCGGTCAGCTTCAATGCTTTTACAGCATGCAAGGCGATGTGCTACTCATTAGGTTGCCATTCCTACGCTGTTAAGAATTGATATTCCTACGGCAGCACACATAGTGTCACTTAGTTGCTAGTAATAATCTTCTCACGTGCCACGACACTAGCACCTTTGATCTTATCCTGTTGCTCAGGCTGGACTGCCTTGTAGGGACACCTTTTGAGAGGGCACAAAGCGCCTTGACCCTCGCTCTCCATCACCAACAGCAGGGACTGTTTACAAGAGCTCATTCGCAGCTACTAGAAGCATTGAATACTCTTAGGAAACCACGCCAAGGGACGCCTAGAAGCTCAAAATCAGGAAGTGGGTGCAAGTACCAACGGGGAAACCGGGAAACCCAGCAGCGGCTTTACGCCTTCGTGCTGCACCGATTTGCCCTTATCCATTCATACTTGCTCGTTTCGCGCTTACTCAAGGAAGATAACCGGTATAACGCAGCGCTGCTGCTTATTAGAGTATCGGCATACATTTCAAAGTAAGATACAACGTGGAAGCTGCATCGCTTAGGCCTTCCAACCCAGTAGCCATTTTGAAGATGCCTTCTCATACTTCTTTATACTTGAGCTGGATGCCCATGTATCAAGTGCCGAGTGCTTGCCAGTATTCAGCAATTTATCGTATGACGAGACGGATTATTGCAATCGTCACATGTTTTGAATCTATTGCATGGTATCACTCATATCACAAAACTCCGCACTGTAGGATGGCGCTACTTTCGGTCTCTTGTGTAGCCCATCGGGCAATGATGCACAAATGACACTGCACATTTTCAGCTAGACGAACAAATCGAAGAGTGGTATCGTATGTTATCAGGCCTGCTGCCTATGTAATGAAGAGTCACCGTCTTCTTGGTGCTGCCATCTGTAGGTGAACGGCTGTGGCACATGGCCTTCACATTGTGCATGCGATGTGCTTCGCTTGGCAGCTTTGAGTCGCATTCAGCCTCGATCTTGACATCGACGCTGCTCACTGGCGCAGCTGCAGGTTTTCCAGCTTCCGCTGCTTCGGTGGCTGGAGCATCGCTACTTTGCCCGGAGCGGAAGACCCAAGTACCAGTTCAGCATCGGAAGGCGATCGAACGCATCCTTAGATTAAAGCAGCCAGATGTCACCAAAATATGCTGTATACCGTGCTTTAATTGCTCCGTGGATGTTGAAGAAGATGCGGTGCAATGCGCATCTTGCAAGGTACGATTTGGTGCCGTCAACACTGTGTCGTGCACGGGCTGAACCTAATTCGAAATTCGCGAACCTTTGTGGCATTATCAGCTGGCATACTTACAGACACTTGCCATTTACATTTGTTCTAACGATAAGGAAGGGATTTTGGCTTACCCGGAGCGTACCTCTGAAAAGGTTTTCGTCCTCAAATTATGCGAGGTGCTTTCAGCATGCATTGCCGTTGTGTGCCGCCTCGGGATTATGTTTGAGGGACCGCTGTGCTGCTTGCCCATTCTGCCTATTCCCAATGAACGTAAGTTACAAAGCACTGACGAATAGCTTTTTAGCAATCTAGAAAAACAGATGAGGTTCAAAGTTTGGCTTCCCCTCAAATGCAAATTAGGCACGACCACAATTACAGAGCATGAAAGAGGAAAGCCGAGTGTAGATTTATTAAGATATTTGCAGCTGCCTTTCGCTGCAGGCGAGCTGCAAAAGCAAGCTAAGCGAGTTCCGCTGTTGTCTGGCGTGTCAGAAGCCCCTGTCAGAGGCAGACTGGTTGCTCAAGCCACTGAAGGAAGTAGCACAGAGCGCCCTGTACATGAGACCTGTGGGTGCGGTGGCTTATCCAACTGAAGCTGTACAAGTAGGATACACGTCAACGACACTGGATGGTAATCCCGGCAGCTAAATGGGGATGCAAGCTCATATTATAGTCGACCTGCGCCCTGACAAACCGTCAAGCAATTTACGCTGGCTTCCGCTGCTACCAAGTGCAATGCCAAAGCTCCTGTGAACCGTAACGGGCAGTTAGTTTTGATGTATTTGTACTGTTATGTTGTGCAAAAATGAGGGCTTTCTAGAAAATTATTAAAATTCCTCTTTCTCCGGTTTTAATTACACCATTGCGATAATAGTTTTGGAAATTACCTGTTCACCTATTCGTGCCAAAGCGTGCTAAGTGACAAAGCCGCAAACGGAAGGTTTCCACTCATGTTTACACAAGAAAGCTCGTAGCTACAACACGATCGCAGTGTAAGGCAGCTTCTTTCTCTCCTTCCTCCAGGGAGACTGCGCTGCTCACTCATGTAGATTCCAGCGTGCATCCAGTTAATGTAAAGGGAATAGGTGTGCAAATGCCTTCATCCTCGTTTCAAGACCTGGCGAGCACGCATCGCTGTGCACAGTAGCTTTGTTTACAGGGACGCAGCACATGGTCTTCCAGTGCATAGAAAACTTTAAGATCCCCGCCCAAAACTCGGTGGTGCACGGCGGTATGTAGCGCATTGACAATAAATCTCTCACCCAGCTGCTTTCTCCGCAAGTTATGGCGTGCACAGTCACTAGTAGCCTAGATAACCACGGCCCTGCGTGTGCATAGGGTACCAGAGCCTTCAGCCCCTAGAGGCAAGTGCAAAAGCACGATTGTGTATGGCATGCGCTACTGTGGGTCTTGCCTGGCTACAATGATCCTGAGGGAAGGATGCTACTCAGTGGATATATCTATAGTTGCATGCTATTTCCCCCCAGTTAAGTAAAAAACTAAATCAGCTGAAACATGAAAGATTAAAGAATGAGGCATGACAGATAATTTCCAGCTGGCTATTTGGTGATGCACCAATGACACCTACTGGACCAGTGGAAAGTGTCAGACATCCACCTAGTAGACACTCTTGGGAGGGGCTGAGGGTCAGAAGGAGCACTTAAAAGCCATACAAGACTCGTCTGCACCAACACATGACGTAGCTCTGCATCAGCTACTCCTTTTTGCTAGCGTACGACCTTCCTTCACAGCCACAGACCCCTGAAGGCAACGCGTTTCTGCTCGAACTCATCCTGATAAATTTAATTGCTTCTCCAACCTCCTCAACGCGTTAGCATAGCAAGACTTTTACAGGTGAGCTTATTGCGTGCATATAGCAATCCAATATATGAATACCACTGTACTCAACCACTTGTCAAACAATCGAATATCGTGTCTCAAAAAGCCCAATCCTTCTTCCTGTTATGGAATTGAATGCTGATACTTAGAAAAGAAGCATTTAAGACTGAACTCTGTCTCCACGCTTCCATGTTTACTGGGCCGCCTTCTATGCGTCTGCAAGTCAGACTCCAGGGCCGGTAACAAGAATATATGCGGCTAGCTACGATCCAATGCTTCGATGGGGAAATATATTCAATGAAGCATCAATGCCTAAATATTTTTTGACTACACTTGGCTCCTGTGTGCCCTGCTGCATGCGAGTCAAGTTGGGATTACAGGATAATAGCTTCCCCATTGGCACAAAAGCCATCAGTGTCGCGTTAGCCACAAGCATGTTGCGCAGGTACAAACTTTGCTTATCGATCCTTCACCTTTGCCCCATAATTTTGCACATGTTCTTTGTTAAGCCGAACTGTGGAAAAATAGCACGCATTTATTAGGATGTGCGCAACAATTTAGGTTCCCACGGCAATCTAGCTAAAAAAGAGCTTTTGAGCTCAGTAGAAAACCAACATTACATCTGTACTCACCTTGCTGAGGAATTAGAGGCCTTGACACACTGGGCGTACATGCCCCATTGTGTCTTAGGTCCTAATGCCTGGAGCGCGTCTCCACGGGCCCAAAAGGCACTGCGTGCTTGCTCGTTATGTTGTGTTCCTCGAGCCAGCTCCTCTCTCAAAAATAAATGCATGGAAGTCACGAAGACAAGCGAGAAGAGCGGCTTGCTGTGAGTAGAAGCGCCCGACACACTTAAAGTGAACTGGCGGTATATGTAGGGGCGAATGCCACTCACTGGATGCAAACAATAACACACGACGAGCGTGCCTTGTAGTCCATTTCCAATCGCATCTCCATGAAGAGTACCCATACCGCTAGACTTTCGAACAAGAGACAGACTCTTCGACACCAGCGGATAGCATTCAGCGCCAGTAGCAACAAAATTAGGCACGAAACTGCTCTCACTTTTTTCTAGAGTGACACACATATCTCACTCACCGTTGCAAATCGGGGCCAACAATCTGCAAGCAAAATCTGTAGGACACTTTAAGAGAGCGTGCTTCTTAAAGGGGCAACGTTATCGCAGTAAAGGTGAGGCATTTCGGAGCAAGCCAGTAATAGGCTTTTGCTGCTTGTTGCTTGTGAGCAACGCCTATCGATGGTAACTAAGCTCGGAAGCCATCACTCTCCTTGCCTATTAAAATCCAAGCTGTCGCTTTAGGTGGCGCCAGCCACCCTGCCTCGACGAAAGTGTATTGGGCAATTGCCGCGGCCTTGCACAGCTCTAAAGGCTAGAAGATATCCTTGGATATTGTCTATGCTTCGAAGGTTTCGTACGTAACACCCCTGCTCAAACAACACTGCTTAGTTTACAAAAATATGTTCCTCCTTTTTGTTGTCTGTGCTTCCGCAGGCAGGGTTCAGCTTCACATTCCTGTTCGTCATCAAAGCAGAGTGACCGGCTATCAACCCTTTCGCTAGAAAGTATGATCAGCGC